TGGGTGATGGGTATTGAGGAGGACACCTTTTGGGATGAGCGCTGGGTGTTGTATGGAAACCAGTTTGATAATAAATTTCATATATTGAAAAAAAAATTAAAATTAAAATTAAAAAAACTTTAATAAACAATGAAAAACAAAATTTTTTTGTTGTTTTGAAAAGACAATCTGATGAAACAGATTGATAAAAAGGTAAATAAAATATTGAAAATGGGGGTTAAAATTCCTTTTCCTGCAGCTACTGGAAGGAATGTTTTGTACCTTGCTTATTTTGTTTAAAGCTTTATATTTAGCAGGCAGCTAATAAGTGTCAGCCTGAGTGTAAATCTAAGTCTTTTTGCCTCCGAACCTTTCAGTGCACAGAAATTTTGATACAACTAATTGATTGGCATGTAGAGGAAGGAATTAGTAAAATTTTTTAAATTTTTAATGAGAGACCATTTTTACCTATCAAAGAAGCTAAGTTTTCCAAACCTGGTAATACTTAAGTACCAGAAGCCCATATATGTGAGGAGATATAATTCAGTTACAACCCCTTTAGAAAAGTCTTAAATAATAATCCTAAAAGCCAGTTATGGCCACAGACTGGAAAGAAGTAGTTTAAAATCTTCATTTGTTCAGAGTAGCAGTGTTTTAAAACAAAGTAATTATTTTCCAATTTTTCAATATTTATCATGTTATTTTTATAAATAGAGAAAATGTTTTTATCCTTACCTGGTAGTTTAACTTTAGGGAAATAATTCTAAATGCAGAATAAAGATTATCCAAAAATTACTCATTGGCTTTATTTTTAGTGGTAAAAAATTAGAAACAAGGTTAAATGTCCAGCTGAGTGAGCAGAACGTGCCAGAGTAAGTGGTGGTATGTCTAAGGGAAATATGTGGATTTAAGAGATTGCATAGGAATAAAGAGAAAAGTTTATAATAGGAAAAGCAGGATACAAATTTGTATAGTGTGTGATTACAGATACATATTTTCATAAAAATACAGGAAAATATTGAAGGAAAATGTAATTTTATTGGCAATTTTCTTTGGATATTGAGTCTCAAGTAATTTTTTCCCTTTGTACTTGTGTTTCCCAGATTTTATTTAATCATGTACTGACTTTTTATATAAAAAGTATTATTTTCCTAACATAAGGTAAAGTGATAGTTAATATTTTCATAGGCCACCACTAGATAGTGTTCTGTTTATATTATCTGTTAAGTGGGGAGACATTTTGATAATGCCAT